GTTCTGATTTTCTTAGCATAAATTGCCAATCCGATGAGCTGCATCCATGCTAATCCTTAAGATGCTGTGGTATTCTTCTAAATCTCCAATAACGCATTTTCGAAAAGCGAAACTAAAAGGATTTAAGAATAAAATCCTGCAAGTGCTTTCTTACAACCCAACACACATCTTTGTTCTTAATTATGATTCTGTCATTGTTTAAACCAGTGCTAACAAAACCACAATTTTTTACTTCTCGCTGTTAGTGTAATTAGGCCAGCTAATCTAATCTCTGACTAGATAAGCAGAAAAAAAGGAAAATTCTGTCCAGAGGTCTCCATTCTCCGACCACCTAACCAGTGTTCGTCAAGTGCGATCACCTCTGGTCCCTCTGGCCAGCTGTTCTATAGCGAAAAAACCAGGCAGACCTCTTCAGACATGCTGAAATCGATCCCCTACAACTCCTCCTCTGATCTTAAAGAGTCCAAAGATCTCTTATTTTTGACAGTTTGATATAGACTAAAGCTCACAGTTGTATACATCATTTGTCGGAGGGAAAAAACTTTAAGGGGAAAATTTGACGCATTGCCTCTTATTACAATAGCACACAAGAAGGCACTGCGGCAGGTACGACAATTATAAGCAGGTAATCGACCGAATATTGCTAAGCACTAAACATAACAAAACAATTTCTCCTTGAGAAGAAATGTGAATCTAGAAGACGTGTTGTAATAGATGACGTTACAACTTGTAGTTGAGTGGATTATACGAAGAATGTACTCATTTAGAATGTTTCAACACTTTTTTTTCCAAATCAAGTCATCATTTTGTAATTATAATTATCTCCTAGTCACATCTTATGTTCATACTTTTAACGAGTGAAATGTCATATGGATGTTTTAAATATATGTAATTCTTCTAATCTCAGATGTTCCTCTCTCGTGTCCTGTAGGCGTGGCAATAGCAGAATCATTCATGCTTCAGTTTTTCTTATTACAAAATGTTGGCTGTTCTGCTTGCAATTTCTGCACTCAGTTTCTCAAAGGTAGAAGTTTTTTCTTGATGCTATTGATTCAGTGTGTTTGTTTTAAAATGACAAGCCCCAAAATCTCCTTTTTTCAAGTAGAAGAGACAGAATTCTAGTTGAAAGAAATTTCAGAATCTAAAATGATCAAATTGTACATCTTAACAACCATCCTATTTTTCTCGTTAGCTTGAAAATAGAAAAATAGGTTTTTTGAGCTTTATTACTGTACACA